CAGAGCCACATCCCAGCCCTTTTTATTTTTAGTTATTTTGAGACAGGGTCTTGCTAAGTAGCCTAGAGCCTCACTAAGTTGCTGAGGCTGGCTTTGATCTCGCAATCATCCTGCCTCAGCCTCCTGAGTTGCTAGGATTACAGGCGAGTGTGCTGCACCTGTGATAATTAACTCTTATGTTAGTTCTCCTTTATTTTCCTCGTATATTTATTTTTTGTGTAATCTTCTAAACTCTTGTTGATTTCTATTTCATTTTTGCCCACTTTCTTGGTCCTGTCGTGTAAGTCTCTTACTGAGTTGTTGGTGGTATCTCTTCTGCCTTGAGCTATTTACAGCTTTCTTTGATGCAATGGTTTTAGAGGCCTACACTTTTAGCTCAAGACCTTTTGCTTCTAACTGGAATCCTTGCCAGTAAATAGCTATGCTGTAAAAAGAAATCTTCTAAAGGGATAGATGCCTTTCATCATTCATTGAGTGTTTGGTCATGTTTCTTCATTGTATTTCAGATAATTAAAATTCCCCTTTGAATTTTTTCTTTTTTCCTCTCTTATCTACTCATCTAAGTTCCTTATGTAGTCATTCTTATAATTTGAATGTGTATTTTTTTAAAAAAAAATATTTATTTTTTTAGTTGTAGTTGGATACAATACCTTTATTTATTTATTTTTATGTGATGCTGAGGATTGAACCCAGGGCCCTGCATTTGCTAGGCGAGCACTCTACCGCTGAGCCACAGTCCCAGCCCGAACATGTATTCTTATGGATGTTTTAGATTTGTAGTTTTAAAAATAAATATTTTGGAAATTTTTGGTTCTTTTATGTAGAAGGAAGATTATGGAATTGTCTCTTTGCCCACAAAGCAGATTGAGTATTCTTCCCAGAAGGAAGAATTATGACTATGTCCTATACAATGGCTTATCAGGCTTGTGATAAGTTGAAGAGAAATATGCAAAACTGAGGAAAATACAAGTTTGAATAGTCTTTATTTTTTTTTCTTCTGAGGGTTTTATTGGTCCCTCTATAACCTGAAGAGAAAGCCATGCTCACAGCCAAAGTATGACACCCAGGGTTTTTATTGTCTTTGCAGCCTCGTCTTCACAGGAGTGAAGACAACCCATGTCTGTGCAGAACAACCATAAACCCCATGCTTCCTGTGTCATGGGTCCAGGGGTAGGAGATGACAGATTCATGGTTGGTACATTCAACAGCCTGGTAGGCCTTTCCTTTAGGGTCTGTCAGGATAGCTGCACCCCAACAAGCAATGCTGATGCCGATGACCACGTGCTGGGTGTAGCCCAGCTTCAGGGTGTCCACGCCACCAAGTACACGGATAGGCCTGTGGCCCCGAGAGAACCAGGCAACTCCAGCAGTTATTAAACAAGGGAGCTTCTGATGGGAAGTTGGGCTTTCTGGATGTACCTGGGGGTGTGGAGTTGGCTGGGGGAGGTGACCTTCCTAGGCTGCAGAAGCTGGGACAATGAAGAACCCATGTTCTGGAACTTGGACCAGCCCTAACAAAACTTTGGTTCTTTAGATGTGTGCTTTTAAAATATTTATATAGAGTTAAAGATTTGAAGATAGTCAAAGATTTGAAGAGCACTTCTCACCATGTCCAGGTCATCACTGTATCCATTTGGCTCTTAGGAAGTGGTTAGGGATTCTAGGCATGTTTTTAGTTAGGTTTTTATTGCTGTGACCAAAATACTGACAAGAGCAACTTACAGGAGGATACGTTTATTTGGGGCTCACTAATTCAGAGGTCTCGGCCCATAGACAGCTGAATCCATTCCTTGGGGCTCCAGTTGAAGCAGCACATCATGGAGGAGTGCTCAGTGGAGGAAAGCTGCTCAGTTCATGGCTGGGCCAGGAATGGGGGTGGGAGAGGGAACCCAGTGAAGGGGGCCCAGGGAAGATGCACCCTCTGGGGTGTGCCCTTGGTGACTGACCTCCTCCAGCCACACCCCTCCTGCCTACAGTTACCACCCTGTCGGTCCATTCAAATGAGGAATGGATTAAAGTAAAGGTCACACTTCTAATCCAGTCACTTCACCTCTGAACATTCCTTCATTGACACAGGAGCTTTTGAGGGACACCTCACATCCAAATCGTAACAAGGCGTCACTTTGGACCATAATGGCTCAAAGAAATTATGACCACAGGGCTTAAGAAGTTGAGCAGTGACAGACTGTGTCCACATAATTTCTTGCCATTAAGGTTATTTCCCCAGACATTGTGCGATCCGTATACGTATGGGGGTCTCTGTGACAAATGGGAAAAGAAGGGCCATTCTTCTCAGAAACAACTGAATCTTAGATTCTCAGGCCTGTGGAAAACTTTTTACCCCTCATTGTGTTTTGTCAAGTTTATCTTATTCAGCTTGATAGAAGCAGTAGAGGTATCAGTGTGTGCCATTGTTGATATCTTATTCTATGCCAAATGCTTGCTAAATGCCTGTATGTACCCATATAATTTTTTATTAAAATGGTTACATGAGTTATTATTATTTCCATTTTAATAATAAGAAAACAGACTTGAAGTTAGGTTACATGACAGTTAAATGGTAGAGTCAGTTTCCATCCAGGATTCCCAGGCCCGAAAGGACAGGCTCTGAACAGCTGTATTGTCTCTATATACCTAAGGGGCATACTGCAGACTGATAAAAGAAAAAGCTTCTATCATGTAAATACAATTTATTAAAAAAAATAACTCATCTAAAGAAGTACACATTGTATCTCTGCTAATACTAAATAAGACACCTCCACTGCAGAAGAGAAATTTTCATTAACACCATTTAATACAGGTTAGCTTTGTTTGAATAATTAAAACAGACTTTCCCATCCTGCTTGTACCCTCCATAGAATCTGGAGAATCAGATAGTGGATTGAGAAGGGCTGGGAGAGTAAATGCTGTTTTTCCACGAATAATTCCACAAATGGTTAAGTGGGTTTTGCTTGAGCTTCCTTTTCCTAATGGGGAAAACATTCAGTTCTTAAATGTCAAAATGGAAATCTTTATCCCGAATAAAGAGATGGGAACTGTAACGAACAGTATAGAATTGTTTAAAATGGTAGTTTGTCTTCATAATAGCTGCTATTCTGACTGGGGTGAAATGATATCTTAGAGTAGTTTTGATTTGCATTTCTCTAATTGCTAGAGGTGATGAACATTTTTTCATATATCTGTTGATTGATTGTATATCATCTTCTGAGAAGTGTCTGTTCAGGTCCTTGGTGCTGGCGAGGATGTGGGAAAAAAGGCACACTCATACATTGCTGGTGGAACTGCACATTGGTGCAGCCAATATGGAAAGTAGTAGAGAGATTCATTGGAAATCTGGGAATGGAACCACCATTTGACCCAACTATCCCTCTCCTCATTCTAAACCCAAAGGACTTAAAATCAGCACACTACAGGGACACAGCCACATCAATGTTTATAGCAGCATAATTCACAATAGCTAAACTGTGGAGCCAACCTAGATGCTTTTCAGTAGATGAATGGATAAAAAAATGTGTCATATATACACAATGGAATATTACTCATCAATAAAAGAGAATAAAATCATGGACATTTGCAGGTAAATGGATGGAGTTGGAGAAGATAATGCTAAGTGAAGTTAGCCAATCCCCCAAAAAACAAATGCCGAATGTTTTCGGAGGATGATATAAGGAGGTTGACTCATAGTTGGGTAGGGAGGGGGAGCATGGGAGGAATAGACGAACTCTAGATAGAGCAGAGAGGAGGGAGGGAAAGGGAGGAGGCAGGGGGTTAGCAAGGATGGTGGAATGTGACAGACATCACTATCCAAAGTACATGTATGAAGACATGAATTGGTGTCAACATACTTTATATATAACCAGAGATATAAAAAATTGTGCTGTATATGTGTAATAAGAATTGTAATACATTCCACTGTCATTTATTTTTTTAAAAAAATCAATTAAAAAAAAGAATTGTTTAAAATGGTATCAAACATACTCTTCCACTGTTAACTAGGAAATGTGCTCTTATGTCATTTGGTGATCCAAAAAACATTGCCCAACCACCAACATATTGGTTTTTCTGGATGGGGTAATGAAGTTAAATATTTATTTATGTGGGTGTAATGGGCACTGCCCTGTGAATTCCACTCTAACTTTGTAATTAATGTGCCATTGCCTTAACCTGACCAAGTATTTCTGCTTTCTGCACACAAGAGACAGACTTCTGCTATTGTTTGCAGTTACTCTCATAAAAATTTGAAAGCGAGAAGTTTGTCTTCTGCTTCATGTTTCTATGTTTCTGTGGTAAGACGACAGAACCCCAGAGGTTCAGACTTTGGCCTGTGGCTGGTTTTTAGTCCTCTGCTCATTTCCAGCTTGTCTTGTGTCCTGAGGCAGACGTACTGATACCTCAGAGCAACAGGGCTGGGCAGTAGCAAGAAGACCCAGAGCAGGCAAGCTGTTCTTTTCTCTTTTGCTCTAGAATGCAGTGAAAAATAGCCCTTCATTCCTCCTACCTGAGAGATGGGGTGAGGAAGTAGTTCAGGTCTGCCAATGCTTTTGTTCAAGTCACACTCAGAAGACCTTTTTCCATCATCTCACGGTTGATGCCTTAGCAACCCAGTCACTAAAACAAACGGCACAGAGCTGCAAACAAAGTGACTCCTAAGAGTTGGGGCCAGGTAGTGAAACCCAGCGCACCGAGTTGTGGAAATTATTCCTGTGCTATTTTGGAGAGTCTTGTCCTGAGGACAATTAAACAGTCCAGACAGGTCACTGGGTGAGGCCAATTTCCTGGTTTGTTTATTTGAGCCTGATTGTTTTCACCACTGAGCAGCCGGACACAGTCTGCCACACTGTTACCCCAGGCCTGCAGAGAGCGATCCTTTCATTTTTGATTTCTCCAGGCTTCCTACGGATTCTAGCATTCTTTATCTGGTGGGGTTGCTCTGGAGTCTCTCAGGCACAGACAGGGTGGAGGACAATATCAGTGATTGCTCTTGACTTCATCTTATACAGGCATTTGGCTTTATGTCCCGAGTCGCCCTGCAAGCAGAGAAGATGAATCATCACCCCGAGTGGCTCAATGTGTACAACAAGGTAAATGGATCGCCTTATTTTGGGATCAATTTTAATTACGGAGTTCGAGAAACTTCTTTCTTCTTTTCTTCCTTGTCATCTTGTGCAACTAAATGTGCTTGTGCTTAAGAAAGTATTTTCTGATTCTTTCTCTTAGAATCCCTGTGTATTATTGCAAATTAGTGACAAATTTCAGATCTGCTCATGAGAACAGTGAATAAGCTCTTTATTTTCATGTTTGTCTTCTACTGAAACTTTTAATAAAAAGAAAGTTGGGCCTAATTAGGTTCCTGAATTAAACTTGAATATCAGCCACGCAGGTAAACTTTTAAATTGAAAATAATTTATTGAAAGAAAGGGTTGCAAATAAGATAGATATGTCCTATTTATCTTATTGAAATATATTTTCTCAGGAATTATACTTTATAAAATAACTATTAAATTCTGGATCCTCAAAATTTACAAAGTTTTAGAGACCACAGTGAGAAGAATCATGTTCCCCCCAAAAAGTGTCCTTGTCTTTATGGTCACACCATTTGAAATATCTTACCATCCAGGTTTCTGTGTTTATTTTCTCTCTGGAAGTCCTCTTTGAAAAAAGAAACATCACCATTCTTGATTATATATATAATTATATATATATATAATTATATATATTTATATATATATATATTTTAATAATTCAAAGCACCCCCATACTAGCATCAACTTTTCTTTCCTAGTTGCTTTTCTTTGCCCATAATTTTATTTTGCTTTTTAACCAATTTGTCAAGAGGTAGCGTTCCCAACACACACCCCTTTCCTAATTTGGAAATGTGCTTTTTTTAACATCACTGCTAAGATATTACATTTGATAGCTTGGCTTTTCTCAGTGGCCCCAAAATAGTTGGTGTAATTAAAGTAATGGGAGTTAAAATGGAACCCCAGTCTCTCTTTTTTTCTCAAGAAATGAGGTTTGAGATCCTGGCAGCTAAATTTTCTCCTTGTATAGGACAACCTTTTTATCCTGGGTGGCTGCCGGGCCCCCTCTGATGAAGACTGTGGTCCTGGAGTTTGCTGGGTTTTGGAAATGCTGTGTTTATTGTTCATAATGTATTTTCTAAATCATTTGATCCCTCTGATTCTCAAATATGAATGTTGGATAATAGATTGATTTCTGAACCACCCAAGGAGAATTCCATGAGTTGTAGCTCAGGGTTTTAAAAGCTGCTTTCTTCTTTCTTAGGTCCAGATAACCCTCACCTCTCATGACTCTGGCGGACTGACCAAAAGAGATGTGAGACTGGCCAAGTTTATTGAGAAAGTGGCTGCTTCTGTGTGATTTCTTCAAAATGCATGCAAAATCTTATATACTGCTGCAGTATGTCTTGAAGGCAATTTACATAAACAAAAATCAAGTTTTAAAGGAGTTCATCCTTCTACATTTTGTATAATCAGTGTGTAAATACAAGATGACCTAAACCTGAGCCTAAGGTGTTTTTTATTACATCTATTCACAGGCATAAGATAACTCAACCTAGCAATTACATTAATAATATTTAAAGAGAGAAATGGATTCTTAAAAAACAGAACTTAGGGGCTGGGGATGTGGCTCAAGCGGTAGCCCGCTCGCCTGGCATGCGTGCGGCCCAGGTTCGATCCTCAGCACCACATACCAACAAAGATGTTCTGTCCGCCGAGAACTAAAAAATAAATATTAAAAATTCAAAAAAAAACAAAAAAAAACAGAACTTAGGAAAGGGAATAGTCATGTATTTCATAACCCAGAAATTCAAAATCATGACTTTATAAAAGCATTGTGTTGAAGAATAGTTAGTTGTAAGGTACAGGAATTAGGCACTTTGCAGGGAATGGGTTTTAATCTTACGTAACAAATTGTAGGAAGCTAAAGTCGATTTGGATTTTGGTGCTGCTACTACTTAATAGATTAGATCATGAAAATCACAAAAATGAGCTGTCTTGGTGTGTCTTACCTTTCAGACAGGGAGTTAGAGGATGAGGGTCTCATTCGTGGCTTCCTGCAAGATGTGGCAACACAAGGACTCTCTGTCACGGTGATCGCTTACCAGGCCATTATTGGACTTACAGGGTTAAGGAGGAACTGAGGGTCATTTCTTTGCATCATTTGTATGTTGTGACCCCTGAACTGAGGGTCTGCAGCCTTGGGATCTCGGGATTTAACAAGGATCATCTTTGTAAGACACCTCACTTCAGAGGCCAGAAGCCGCATTCTGTTACAACAGGCAAACCTTCCCCTCCTCAGCCCAGCCCCTGCTCCAGCAGGACAGGGAGGCTGCGTTCTCCTTGAAGTCCATGCTTGGCTGGTTCTGCTAGCCAAGGAAAGACAGCTTTGGTCAGTTGGCCCCGTGGGCATGGAATGTGCAGGGAGGGGAAGGGAGCGGAGAGCCACAGGCTCTAGAGTCCCCAGGGGAGCAAAAGCCTTCATACTACAACTTCTGTTTCCTAGAATTTTTCAAAGGAAAAGGCAAAGCTATGTGTTTTTTATAATCTCTTCCCTACATTATAGATTTGGAACTTTTATACATTTTTTATCAAAGATTTTTAGTTCATTGCTTCAGTTTTTATGTGAGCCTTTTTAAAAACAATTTTTAAATTTTGTTTACTCTTATTAGTTATATATGACAGCAGAATGCAGTTCAATTCATATTACACAAATAGAGCACAACTTTTTTTAAAAAGAGAGAGAGAGAGAGAGAGAGAGAATTTTTTAATATTTATTTTTAGTTTTTCGGTGGACACAACATCTTTATTTTATTTGTACGTGGTGCTGAGGATCGAACCCAGCCCCCTGTGCATGCCAGGTGAGTGCGTTACCGCTTGAGCCACATCCTCAGCCCTAGAGCACAATTTTTTATGTCTCTGGTTGAACACAAAGTAGAGTCACACCATTCATGTTTTCATATATGTACTTAGGGTGATGACATCCGTCTCATTCCACTGTCTTTCACAAGGGCTTTTTAAACATGAAAAATTTTAAACATGCAAAAGTAGAGTGAATAGTACATTGAACCCTTATGTATTGATCACCCAGATATAGCAGTTACCAAGATTACGACCAGTTCCTTCATATAATTCCATTTCTGTTGATAAACTATTTAAAAACAAATACCAAATAGCATGTCATTACTCTTCTGTGTTCTTCAGTAAGCATTTCTAGGAAAATATTGTCATCATCTTACATAAAACAACAATGCCATTGTCACATATAACAATATAAGCCATGATTCCCTGGCACCACCAAATACCCAGGCCAAACCAAAGTGCTCTGAGGTCAATAAAGTCTTTGGACAGTAATTTGGTTTTAATTAGGATCCACATGAAGTCTACCCATCACATCTGGTGGCTGTGTCTTTATTCTCTCTGAGCCTAGAGCAACCACCCCTCTTCTCTCCCCAACCCTTTCTCCATGTATTTGATTCTACCAGACAACTGACCCAAAACTGGGTCAGTTGTCTGGTAGAATATTTGCCTCTGACTTTGGTGTCATTTAACTTGTTCCACTCACCACCAATGTAAGCCTCGCCTCCTATTTTGAATGTATCTGAGGCTAGACGGATGGCTGCGTTAACATATGCCACACAGAGCACAGTGGGGAAAGCAAAGACCTGGAGCAGAGTTACCGGTGGTCAGCATCCACGTGAGGGTTTGACCTAAGGTCCATGTTAAGGGGATTGCATCTGCTGGAACTCAAAAATAGTTTAGAAACAAAGATCCTGTATCAGAAGTCAGTAGAGATACTCAGGGTACCAAATTCCAGCAGATGAATCCCCAGACTTACTTCAAGTAACTGACTTAGCAGCTTGAAAGGGACTTTGCCAAAGTTGAAGGCCCCCAAATCCTTGTGTGCTGACAGTGGTTTCTCTGATGTGGTAAGCTTTGGTTTCCCTCTGTTTTCTCTCTAAGTGATCACCAGAGGAGAGAGGAGTTAAACAGACACAGTCTACTCCTTGAGTGACTTCCATATAACAAACCAGGGTCAGCATGTTTGACTTTGTCCTTTTCTAAAATAAAGTTAAAGAAAGTTTGGGAAATAATGGCTACTTTCTGTCATTGATATGATTTAAGAAATCTGGAAATAAATAAAAGAAGCATGGTTCTTTGTATTTTCACTATAGGCAGAAAGCAGCAGCCTGTATATTATATTTGAAATAAGCCCGACTTCTATCAATGTATTGAATGATTGTCTACAGTATTAGTATGGAACAGTGTGAATACTCTCTAATTCACACTCAAAAATGTAATAGTTGAACTTTCAGTTTTGTAAACTTTCCATCCCAGTAATAGGGTTTGGCTGTTATCATATGTGAACTTTGTATTTCAGCGCCAATTTCTTGGGACCACGATTGAAGGCTGCTGTGCCTGCTGAGGCAGCTGAGGTAGGGCTGCCCAGGCCCCGCAGAGTGAGCTGCTGCTGATAGGACAGGAGAGGTGGCACTTGGGCTTCTCATCCGGGAATGCCTGTCCTACCCACCTGCGTGTGGGAAGATCTGGATTTCAGGAGGCCCTGGATGAGCTCACCACCTCCGAGTTCCTGTTGCGCTCCCCTCTCCCAGCTGGAGTTCCGTTCCCAGACTGTCTTCATCAGTGGCTTCCGAAACCGCATTCAGCTGTGATGGGCCTCGCTGATGTGGTTCACTAGGAACAACTGGGCTCTTTCTCCTGCCTGCAGCTGGCTGTCTCTCCTCACCACCGCACCCAGCATTACATTTTTAATCCCTTCTCTGTTTTTTTCCCAGAGGAAGTCCCAGAAGTGTCCCTCTGGGGTCCTTGCAGATGCACTTCCACTGTGCCACACTAACAGTGATGCTACTCAGTTCAGTATCCTGTTCATCTAGCTTGTGTGCTGAAGGGGATGAGGGCGGGTTAACATCTTGGGGCAGGTGGGGATGCAGAGCTGACTCAGCCCTTCTGAACAACTGCTGCAGAAGGCCACTGTGGCATTAGGGGGACACATGACCAAAGAAAGCAATAGGAGTCATAGGAAGAACTGGTCTCTTTCTCTCTGAGGGAGAAGGGGTAGACTCAGGGTGCAGCTAAAGTTTGAATCTTAGGTAATCTTGGTAATCAAGCTGATTAAAATTTGCTGTGATGATTTGTTTTTAATTAACAGGTAATAACTATATCTGTGGGGTACAGTGTGATGTTTTGGTATATTTATACATTGTATATTGATCAACTCAGGATGCTTAGGTTCCCCATCATCTCAAAAATCTATCATTATTTTATTTTGGGAATGTTAAAAATCTTCTGTTTTGAATTTTATGATACAGTACTGTTAACTGTAATCACCCTCTGTGTAATAATTCACCAGAACTTTTTCCTGTCTGGCTAGGAGTAAATAAGATGTTGTCATCCAGTTCAGTATATTTTCCTACCAGGAATGGAAATATGCACTTACTTTAAAATACCAAGGACAGCAGAGATGGTGAGGTGGTTACCTCATTTTTTTAATGGTCCAAGAATTTAGGTTTCGAGGAAATCGACCAATTTAGCCACTAAACATTTAATACAACATACAGCTAAGCAGATCTGTTTTGATTTGCTTTGAAGGCTAAAGGGGCTGGGGGAGGAGATATTAATCCTGAGAGTTGAACAGAACAAAAATCCTGATATAGTAGACCATCCCTTACACCTTGTTTAGGTGTTTCATACACACATATATCCCGTGCCCCAAATGAGCCAACATAGGGCCTATGTTACCTTCTCTGCCCCCTCCTAATTCTTTTGTCCTAGTCCTAAATGGATCATAATCCTTCCTTCCAGATGTTTCCATTGCTGGCCCTGATGTGTTCTCTCACAGAATCATAGAGAACTTTGCTTTTTTTTTTCTTTTTTTCTTTATTACATGACCTTCAACTTTTCCTAACACATCATTAAGGGTCTAACAGAGGACTGGGGATGTGGCTCAAGCGGTAGCGCGCTCGCCTGGCATGCGTGCGGCCCGGGTTCAATCCTCAGCACCACATACAAACAAAGATGTTGTGTCCCCCGTAACTGAAAAATAAATGTTAAAAAATTAAAAAAAAAAAAAGGGTCTAACAGATGGAACAATTCTTGAAGTGGGAACCTTTGCCCTATCTCTAGTGTTGCCCAGCATTCGCCTGAACTTTACCGTTGCTGGGTGCGTGCCCCTTGCTCAACTGAAGCATGTTTCCTTGAGAAGAAGGATCCTGGGACAGGCTTGCTGGGTGCACCCCACTCAGTGGTCTGTAGGCTAGTGATGCACTGGAATGCCCGAGAGTGATCTCATAAAGCCAAGATTCCCTCATGGACCCTTTTCTGCTGCCTCTTGGAATCCAGACACCAAGGGGATCTCTAAGTAGAGATTTTTTTGATTAGCCATAAAAGCAAGGAATAAAAAATTGAAAAATTTTAAAATGTCTCAGGCCATTTACGAAGATGTGCCACCAAATTCTACTTCCAGTTCGCTGTTTGGTGCTGCATCACAGGCGTTCTGTGGGAGATGCAGGAAATTTAAGTAAATATTTCTATTTCCGTTGTTAAGAAGCGTGTAAAGGGCAGGGTGCAGGTGGGTGTCAGCTTTCTAGCCTCTTCCACACGCTTGTGGGCTTCCCAGGTGGAGGGCACCTCTGACCGTTGGTTTCCCTAGTTGGTGAGGCTGGCACACTGTTACTGACCTGCAGACTGCAGACTCAGTGTTATCTTTTCCTGTTAAATAATTTGAAGCCTTTTAAAATTTTGTAATAGACTATTTCAAGCCAGAAAATGAAAATTACACATCTTGTTTTTATAAATCACAGAGGTATATATGATATTCATGCACACAGCACACTTTTTTTTTTTAAAGACATGATCTTGCTATGTTGCCCAGGGTTGGTCTTCAGCTTGTGAACTCAGGTGATCCTCCTGCCTCAGCCTCCCAAGTAGATGGAACTATAGATAACAGCCATTTTGCTTGGTTACATTCTGTATTTTTTTCACCTTAATGAAAATGAGAAAAAAAACTAATCTTTGAGAAAATTTGCAAGGCACAGATAAATGTAAATGAATAATAAGAAGAATGACATAACTTCACCACTATTCACACTTTGACATATTTCTTGCTGAGTGTTTTCTACCCATTTTATATCATGTTTTAAATTTTTTTTTTATTATTGTTTCAAGGTCTACCAGAGAGTAAACAGTTTTTCTAAATCATGAAAAAATGCATAGCAAGGGCTGGGGTCGTGGCTCAGTGGTAGAACTCTTGCTTAGCGTGTGTGAGGCACTGAGTTCGATTCTCAGCACTGCATATCAATAAATAAAATAAAGGTCCATTAACAATTAAAAAAAGTATTTTAAAAAATACATAGCCATATTTTAAGGTCTATGTTTCATGAGATGGAGATGCCAGAGTTTACTTAACCACTCCTTTTTGTTAGATTTTAAAATTGTTTTCAGTTTCTCATTACTATAAATAATACAGGAGTAAATATCTTTGGCTAAAGTCACTTCCTGCGTTTTACATTGTTCTTTTGGAATAGATTCCACAGGTGAGAGGATAGGAACAGTTCTGGGCTCTTTAGAAAAGCTGTCAATTTAGCTGGGCCTGGTGGTGCATGCTTGTAATCCTAGCAACTCTGGGAGATTAAGTCAGGAAGATCACAAGTTCAAGGTCAGTCTGGGCAATTTAGGAAGACTCTCCCTGTTTCAAAAGGAAAAAAGAAAAGAAAAGCCAGTCAACTTAGATTTTCCTGGAGGCTTATGAGACTACCCCATCATTCTCCACTTTGACAGCATTAAATACTATCATGCTTATTTTTTATTTATTTTATTTTTATGTGGTGCTGAGGATCAAACCCAGTGCCTCACATGTGCTAGGCGAGGGCTCTGCCACTGAGCTATAACCCCAGCCCACTATCATGTTCAAGTCTTTGCTAATTTTATAAGCAAAAGTGATTTTTTTTTAAAAGACTCCCTGACATTTGGGGCTTATTTCGGCCACTTGTTTTTCTTTCATAAGTTGTGTGCCCATTTTTGTCTTAGGGTGTTCAATTTTTTTTTGTCATTGATTTGTAAGCAATTGTATAGATGATGATTTGATTGTTATCAGTTTTTTTTCTATCAGACCGATAGTATTTAACCTTTTCACATTGTATTTCTAGTACTTACTGTGTTGCTTGGCATGTAATAATCACTCAATAAAAATTTGTAAATGAGTAAATGAAGGCTTAGAGGTTCACTAAGAGGCGGACATTGATGATGATCACACATATTTCAGTTGTCATTCATTCAGCATTAATTGCTATTTGAAATGTATGTGGATTTATATTCACAAAAGGGGAAAAGCAGACCCTGATCCCTACAAAAAGGTGTAATTGTAACTCTGCTGTGTAACCATACCTCTTATTCACCTTTTTGATAGGAGGAAAGACCATCAATGTCAGGCATTTGTGAGGAGAGTCATAAGGAGTCATCTCTTTCAGATAATTATGATTAGCACCGTCTCTTTGAATGCCTTTCTAACAGTCTTGTGGACCAGTTATAAAATAAGATACCGCTTGTACAGAGTTTTTGAGGTAAGCTGAAAAAAGGGGTCCATTTTTTTCTATTTTACCTGTTTTATTTCTGGAAATGTTCTAAAATCCTGAAGCTATTTTATTTCAAAAAATTTTCCACAGAAAAATTCTAAGGATCTTTAGAATATACTCTAAAACCTAGGCAGATGGTAACAGGAGTGGCAGTGAGACATGGATTTTAAAGTTTCCTAAATTCTTTTTAAAATAGCCATTAGAGAGCAAAACTAAAAACCCATGGGAAAAATTTACAGCAAAACTAATTACTGAGAGCAGCCAGGCGCGGTGGTGAAGCCTATAATCCCAGTGGTTCTGGAGGCTGAGGCAGGAGGATCATGAGTTCAAAGCCAACCTCAGCAACAGTGAGGTGCTGAGCAACTCAATGAGACCCTGCCTCTAAATAAAATACAAAATAGGGCTGGGGATGTGGGCTCAGTGGCCGAGTGCCCCTGAGTTTAATCCCTGGTGCACCTCCTCAAAAAAAAAAAAAAAAACAAAAACAAACAAACAAACAAAAAACCTTGGAGCCATTAAGAACATGCCATTAGCTTCTGTGGGGGAAGAGGCAGAGGGGAATTGGTAGGTATTCCCTGGAATGTGTGATGGGCTGATGTGAGAACAGCTTTTGGGAATAGTATTGCCTAATCCAATACTGGGGGAGTGCAGAAGGATCCAGATAATTTCTGAAGGAGCTGGGGCAGTCCAGACCCAATGAACCAACCCTGCAAGTCTCCCTTCAAAGGTAGGGCTGCGCAATTAGGAGAAATACTGGAAGTGGAATAAAAATGAGCAAATTAGAGACAGCTGAAGAAAGAGATGTGAACAGAATTAGGAAACCTCAAAAATCCAACTACCACATTTTAAAGCATAACCTAAAAGCAGAAGAGAGCTCAGTGAAGTTAGAACCACACTTTCTTCTAAAAGTGCAGGAAAACTAATTGGACATAAAAAAAAAAAGCACACTATAAAAGGATTGAAGGAAAACAGCCTACAAAATTTTATAAGAAAAAAAAAGTGGAGAATCACATTTCTATGATTAAAGCAAGTCTACTGCAAAGGTATGCCCACAAACGGATAAAAATTATAGCGTATGATTTTAAAACAGGGTAAATGTTTAAGAAACTGATCAAGTTAGGAAAAGAACAGAAGTGGAGTGACAAACTCAAGAAAGAATTAGAAAGCCAAGAAAAATAGAAAATGAAGACTAATTAAGGGCAATTACATACAATAGACAATTGCTTAAGAGAAATACATGATTAAGTAGAGGAAGTTTTTTTTTAAAAAAAAAAACAAGAAATGAACAGATGGAAAAAATTCAGGAGAAAACAATGAACAATGACAATGGGAAAAAATTCAATATAAAGATAATAGGAAGGCTGGGGTCATAGCTCAGAGCGCTTTCCTAGCATGTGTGAGGCACTGGGTTTGATTCTCAGCACTGCATATAAATAAAATAAAGGTCCATTGGAAACTAAAGAAAAAAGATAGTGGGAGCCCCTGCATTTCAGAATAAATGCTAAAATCTATCATGCCCCCCAATTACCTTAATAAAAGACCTCAATTTATATGTTTAAAGAATACACGTCACATACCTGAGAATATGGATTTAGAACAAGCACCAAAACACATCTAGTAGAATTTTGGGACTATACAAGCAAGAAGAGTAGGGGAAACTGTAACCAGCTAGGAAATGTGGCTTCTAAGTAGAAGAAAATTAATTATCTTCAGACTTCACTGTGGTAATGCTTCAGGCCAGAAGATAATGGAGATAATTTAAGATTCTTCAGCAAAGAAAATGTGAACCAAGTTTTTTAGATCAGCAAAACTGACTTTCAAGTACCGAGGGCACAAACTGTCACATTCAAAAACTTGGAGAATGTTCTTTCCAGGAACCCTTTCTTAGGCGTCTACTACAGAATAAGTTGAGCCAACCAAAACAACTTTATACTTCTGATGATAGCATTAAATATATAGTTATTTGTGAAAGCAATTAATTGTGGTTTAACGGGGAAAGAGTATCGCATATAATGAATATATTACCTAATAACAAATATATAGTATGACTATAAAAATGGGAGCCATTGGGAAGAGCAAGTGCAAAAAAATTTTAAACCATTTTCAGTAATCAACTTGGTGATGCTATGAGTAGTAGTATTCTGAGATGGATGAGCATGAGGTAATTATGTGATATTTTTTTGGATCCTATCTTTCATCGTCTATGTTCTTGAGAACCAGGATGTTAATGGAAGAAAGGAGATAAAGGTGTATAGATGAACTTTAAATAAAATTGTTGTACATTTGGATTGGAAGTATCATCCTAAACTACTGAGGTATTTTATTTTATCCTCTGAATGACTTCAAACATTGATCAACTTAGCAATTATGCATGTTTTGTGCCCATAATGTAATATTGAAATATCATTTCTCACTAAAAGAAACCAGAGTTTCTTAGAGAAAGAAGAAATGCATCAAACAATCTATGAGGTTATAATGATACACAACATAACTGGCCATTTTGGATATTTAAAAAGAGCTAATCCTTGATCTTTTTCTTTCCCCTTAGTACTGGGGATTGAACTCAGGGGCACTTTACCACTGAGCTACATCCCCAGACCTTTTTATTTTTGAGACAGGGTCTTGCTAAATTGCTGAGGATGGCCTCAAATTGTGATCCTCCTGTGTCAGCCTCCTGAGTTACTGGGATTACAGGTGTGCACCTCCACATCTGGCCAATTCTTTATCTTGAAACCTACCAAATTAAGGGAAAGTATCAAGATTTACTAACCTCTCTTAGATGAACTGTGACCCTGAGGGGGTCACCTACTCATTCTTAGAGTTAAAATCTTTATAAAGTGTCCCAGTTAATAAATGAAAAAGAAATGATAGAAAAAATCACCATTTTTTCAATATAATAATGGATCTAGGCATTCAGCATTAATGGTTGCTGCCATAATAATAATAAAAAAAGAGATAGCTAGATGTTATATGCCTTCCATGAAGGAATAGCACCTATAACTTTGCCAGAGATCCAACCTGAATCTGATTAAGCTGATCAACTTGGAAAACATCTTCCTAATTTTAGGAAATTTGGAAAATAGAGGAACATGCAGAATGGCACCGTAAGTGTGCAGTCAGCAAATTCCAGACTGAAAGGTTCTGAGTTAAACTGTAAGAAGAAAAAAGGAATGGGAGATTTAAAAAAGATAAACCAAAGTTTAAAAAATTATAAAAGGCAAGACTAAATTATAGGTTCTTGGGAGGCATATCTGGGTTTCTATCCATAACGGAATGCAAGGAAATAATTATAATTTAAAAAATCCAAATAATAGTTAATTTTGTAGGTAGGGTAGGAGTTGTGATTTGAGAGGGGCACATGGAGAGGCCTGGGATAGCAGTCAAAGCTCTACTTCTTGACCTGGTGGTAGTGATAGGAATGTTGGCCTTGTCATAAATTCGTTAGGCTAATTCATGTGGTTCTATGTGTATTTTATTTTATAGTAAAATGTTAAAATATACTTCATTCAGGGTAAAACTCACATTTACTTCTTAATGGTAAAAATGGTTAGCATCAACATAATGTGCTATCAGAGGTGGTGGAGGTGGGTGGCCTACTTGAAATTCACAGGATCCACTTGGGGACACTCCTGTGAATGTGCTGGTATGGTAGCAAATCCCACACCACCACAGAGTGTGATCACGGACAGTGGGAGGTCATGTTGGTACAAGAGTGATAGGTTCAGGGAAAGAGATCTGTTGAGGAATCTAAATCCTGATTGTCCTCCGGAGGCCATAAGGTTACCAAGTATGTGTCCTTTGGGGACCCTGGTTTGCAAGCCTAGTTCTGTGTTGTGGGAAGGATGTGGACTTCGGGACTGTACAGTTGTGGGTTCAAGTCCCAGCTCTCCTACCTTTTTACTAGTTGGGAGAATTTAGGCAACTTATGTAATCTTTTTGTGGTTCAGGTACAGCATGTGTAAAATGATACACCTTCCAGGAGGCTGTGAGGCCATTGAGCATAATGTGTGAAAGCCCCTGGTTAACTATGAACTGTAATGAGAAATCATTAACACTCTTGAGATCCCCCTGAAGGTTCTAGGAAAGACCTGAGAAGGGCTGATCTTTCACCTCTGGATGATCTTGAGGCTCTGAGTAAGCAGGAAATGAAGGTAAATTGCTACTATTGGCAAATTGCTGGAGCACTGAATGCAGGCCCCAATACACAGAGCAAAGAGCCTTGGCAAAGACTGGGAGGCTGATTGGTTCCAGGCATTTAGGGGAATCTCCATCCAGACATTAGGAGGCCAGTGAGCTAACTGAAGGGCTGGGGATGTAGCTCAGTGGTACAGTGCCTGCCTGTCTTGCATGCACAAGGCCCTGGGTACAGTCTTCAGTACTGCAGTAAACAGACAAACGAGCTGACTGAACAGAGGCTTTGATGATCACACACAACAGACTACAGACTTGACAGAATTCAGGAAAGGCACTTGGAAAAGAAAGAAACTAACAATTAACCATACTGAAACAAACCCTGGAGAGAGAGGAGAAGCTGATTCCCAGTTGTGACATATTATTTAAAAAGTCAATTTTTTAACAACAAAAAAATTATGAGACATGCAAAGAAACCAAGAGTGTTCAAACCAAAAATGTTGATCTTAAGGAAGAGAGTAGAACCGTGATTTCTAGAGGCTGGGAAGGATAGGGGCAGAGAAGATGAAAGAAGTTCGGAAAAACAGGTGCTAAAATACAGTTAAATAGGAGGGATACGTTTTTTTTTAATTGTTCCCCAGCATAGTAGGCGAATAATTTATATCAACTCATTATATATTTTAGGAAGAACTAGAAGATAGGAATTTAAAGGCTCCAAATACAAAGATAAGAAGATGGCAATGCTAATTATTCTAATTTGATTATTATACATTTCATTGTATACATGCATTGAATATTGTCACTCTGAAGCCCACCAGTATGTACCATTTTTATGTGTCAATTAAAAAGAAAAAAAA